CAACAACGAAGAGAAAGTTATTTTGTCTTAGTAGTGTATAATGATTTGCGCTCGTGTTTGGTTAGCTTTTCCCACCAAAGTTCTAGTAGTCATTCGATAGGTGGAAAAATTACAGTTCTACCGCTATACTTTGTTTTTACAAATTCTTTTCTATTGAGCTGATAAAAAGAAGAGAAAACTACGATTCCTTCTGCGTAGTGCACGAAAAGTGTTTTGTACTCGTGTTCGCTTGGCTTTCCCAACAGACAAGTTTTATCTCTAAGGTTCTTGTAATCATTCAATAGCTAAAAAACGCCAATTTTAATCGCAAACTTAATTTTGAAACAAAATATTCTATTAAGCTGTGATGACGACGAAGGTAAATTACGTTTCGCGTTTTCCTCCCGAAACCAAATATACCAACAGTATACGGTACATGACCCTCTCTGGCTTTTTCGAGGGGCCCGGGTCTTCACTAGGACTTCAAGTAATCATTCGATAGCTAAAAAATGAGATTTGAAAACTAGGGTTATTTTTAAAAAAGTTTTTTTGGTGCGTTGTAGCAAAAGAGAATATTACGATTTACCTCCGCAATATATAGTTTTGCCTACATATTTGCATAGCGATAATTCAGTTTAGAAATGTTATCATTTATGGCATCAGATGGCTACTATACTTCGATGGAAAGCTACTACATGGATCCAACCGATCGAACCACTAAAACCGAGTGTAAAACATAGTTTCATTTTCGTCGCTACAGCTCACTTAAAAAAACCCAAAGCCAAATAAGCTATCATAATCACCGAGATCTGAGCTATTCAATGGTTACCTAAGGTCTAGGGGGAAAGCTTTCTTCATGGAAATAGGTAAGTCCCAGAAGGGTTTCAACGTTTAGTTCTAGACGACCTGACATCGCATGCACTATACAACATCATTATTGACGAGCTATTCATTGATTTCTGATTTTCAATCACTATAAAAATTCTTGAGTATGCATATAATCAGGTACATCGACATTTATAGATTTATATCATGATATTCTTTGCACAACTTATTACAATTGAGAAAATTCTTATTCACACATAAGAATTATAAGAATTATATTTGTACCAAAAGCATACGAAAGTGTAGAGAAAACGGTGGATTGTCGAAGTATTAAGTATTATAAGAAAACTAGAAATACTTCCAAAATGAAGGAAAAACTCCTAACTCATCAACAAAAATTGTGCGCCAGCGATTTCAACTGCGGTCCCGAAAGGGTTTAAAAATCTCAAATCACTAAAACCATTGCTATAAAAATACTTCACGCTATGGGCAAAATAACGAAAATTTTCACACGGGGTGAGTCTAATAGAACGTTGCAGATGGGGACGTAACTGTTAGATTCCCTTGGCGCTACACATCTCTAATTACGAGTTATCGAAGTCCGGGATTTCCACGTGGATGCGGCTGTGTTTTTGATCGTTTTTCTTTTGCATCTTTGACAATAAGGCGAACTAGACGAAGCGATGTAGAAATACGGCCCATCGTAATAAACTGGACCATACGTATGCAACTCAACAGAAACTCTGCCTTTAACTTGGAAATTTCCAAATAATATTTGTTTTTTCTGGACAGTATTCATGCAGGACTTCGACTGTACAGTGGTTACTAGGCGCCTTCTGTAAGGGTGACACGCGGGTTTAACACCCTCCCCCCCGGTTCAAAGTTTTGTATATCACTCAATATGACTAAATACTCACATTCACTTCATTTTATCACTTGATCTGACCCGTATCACAACTTTTTACTGCGTGGGATCTCAGTATTTATATCATTCGATTTGTATCCCTTCTTGTTCGAGAATTTCATTTTCTTCACGAACGTTGTCAAATACTGGTCTACCACACCTTCATTTTAAGGAGAGCCAGGCTAAGGCGCTCCGTAGGGCGTTCATTATCTGATTGTTGGGTAGTTTTGTGGGATAAAAACCAACTCTGCGTCAACACCACTAACCATTCTCCCACTGCCCCACATGATCCGCTGCAGGAGTATAATGTTTTCATATTATCCAATAATATGAAGTGCTGTGCAAAAATATTTGCTTCAGCCGGGATTCGAACCCAGATCTCTTTCGGAGAGCGCGTGCTGAACCGCCTCACCACGGACGCACGTTTTGCACAGCACGCTTTTTACTCTAAATAATTGGGTATTTATAAGATCATAACACCGCAAGAAGCGGTCACATTAATGAATTTTTATTGACTATTGATACCCAATATCTGTTTGACAGTGAGTTCAATGTCGATAACGGCTGCACCGCCAGACCGTCGACGGTTGGCTGTTGACGGATAACGCGTTTAGCGTAAAAAGAGTGCTGCGCAAAACGAGCGCCGGTGGTGTAACGGTTCAGCACACGCTCCCGGATAGAGTGAGATTTGGGTTCGAGACCCGGCTAGCGCAAATGTTTTTGCACAGCACTCCACATTATTGGGTATATTATAAGATCATAACACCGCAAGAGGCGGTCAAATAAAGGAATTTTAATAATCATATTATCGCTAAACAAAGTTCGCCAGATACACCTTTCTCCTATACGTGTTGTGTTTATAAATAACACAATAAAGTGAAAGGTTTGCTAAATTTCTTAATTTTCTCTCAACAGATAAGAGCAGAAGTTGATTCAAAAGTTTTTATCCATTGCATCGACTGTTTTTATAAGCTCGTGATAAACATTCAAAATAATTCCAAAGAATGCTTGAAGCCAAAACGAGGTTGGTAGGCGCCAGGGCCATACAGCGATGTTTCGGAGGTTTCGGCCTCCTCGTCAGTGACCCCCGCCCCACATTAAGCCCTGGCCTTGTAGCAAGGAGGGAGGCGTATGAGGTGATGGCACAGTGTACAATGACACTGGTCCATCATCACCTCTCACTCGATGGATTTTGGCTGGTAGAACAAAACTGATCCACAGCATCGACTTCTTGAAACCTCGCAATAAACATTCAAAATTAAGCCTAACGAGGTTGGTACGCCGGGCTATACACCGATATTATTATGTCAAAGGCTTTTATTGTTACTACTGAGCCTATGAAAAGTGTATTCTGACCAATCATAAATCGCGGGTGAACTACAACGATGTGCCTAAACTTACGAAAATATCTTTAAGCTCTTTATTTATCTGTAAAACTTGTAGACGAGCAAGGGCGAGACGTGTTTTCCACATTCTCACCATTTGGTTGCCTTCGTTCAGTTGATCAGTGAGCGAGACAAGCCTGAACGAAAAATAGCGGATGACAAGCATATCGTAGACAAGCGACACTACCAAACAGCTGTTTTTCAATCGATTGTACTACTAACTAACTATTTTTCAGTCAATAAAACTGCCTGTAAACTTACTTTTCAATCAAAGTCGCTGTATCAGCAGACTCGAGCTCTTCACGATTCAACTTGATACACTTAGGAGATACCAGCGCCGTTTCCGCATTCTCACTGACCCGTTTCATCACTGAAAGGAAGGCCAACGTGGAAGAACAATGACTGCATTCAATCAGGACAATATAGCAGTACCTCCAGTCGTTCAAAAAAATCGTTCCTAAGTGATTTCAAATGGATACCATATCTATAAGCACTATGAGAAGGAGCAACACAGAATTCAATATGCCTTGCAATTTTTGCCCGACTGACGAGATCGCAAGATCGAAACACGTGTATCGGGCTCTATAATCAGCCCTCCTTCAACAGACCACTGACATGCGTGGCTCAAAAATGATTGCAAGGCATACTGAATTTTGAGCTGTGGTCTTAAGAAAACACTCGAAATGAAAACAACACAGAATTATCGAGAACAAAGATACAAACGCTCAAAAACACATTTCGACGTATTCGTAAGTTTCGAGGGGTGTAGATCTACACTCGGATGATCAAACGACATGTCTTAGAACTGCCTGCTACTTATTTTTTGAGCCACGCATGTCAGTGGTCTGTCAAAGAGGGCTGACTTATAGAGCCCGATACACGTGTTTCGATCTTGCGATCTCGTCAGTCGGGCAGTTACTCGTCTTTGGCCAATCCTGTGTGGGTGCTTCAATCCCCACACTGAAAGTTAGCGACGGCGAACGTATTACACTTTATGTGCAGTGAAATTATCACCGCACAGAGTGTTGTATGCTCGATTGCTCGTGGCTAGTATACTCAATATCTCATATCCTTCGTTTCGATGGTTTCTTGAGACAACATCTCAAATTTCAATATGCCACAAAATCATTTTTGAGCCACGGATGTCGTGTGGTCTGTTGTGGAATAATGAGCATACTAGCCATGAGCATTCGAGTGCACAACACTTTGTGTTTGGTGAGATTTTCACTGGACATAGAGTGTAAAGCGTTCGTCGTCGCTAACTCTTAGTGTGGGGACTGGAGCACCCACACAGGATTGGCAAAAGACGAGAAAGGGTAACTGTCCGAGTGACGAGATCGCAAGATCGAAACACGTGTATCGGGCTCTATAAGTCAGCCCTCATTGACAGACCAGTGACATGCTTGGCTCAAAAATAATTATCAGGCATGTTGAAATTTGAGCTGTGGTCTTGAGAAAACACTCTAAACGAAAGATATGTCTTAAAACTTTCGGGAACGTGGACCCACGGCCTCTGCATCTGTTACTGGCAACTCGGAACGGTCCGCCCCACCTCAACTACATCTCTAACTCAGCATGCTACGTCTAACAATGTCAGGCTGTTGTGCCTAACAATGGTACGCTGAGGGTTAGAGACGGAGGGGAGGTGGAGCAAACCGTCCGGTGCTGCCAGTTAGAACAAGGCTTCGATCCACTGTACCGTAAGGGTTAATAATGCAACAATCGACAGCAGAACACTAGATGCAAACAAATCAGAATTGGTAGAAAAAATGGTCTTATAGGAAATCAGATCATCGCGATCAAAGCGCCACTAGCAATAACTCCCCCGAATGACTGCTATTTTCTTATTTCACACGTTTTTGACTGTCAATCTACCTACTTCAAAGTAACCATCATAGCTGTCCCTTGCATTGGTGGTTCAGTGGTGGAACACTGGCCTGCCACCCGGGTAACCCGAGTTCAATCCCGGTTAATGCACCACCTCATATCGGTTTCATTGTGGAATGAGTAGAGGGATAAAAAGCTGAAAGGTTAAAGCTCTTGGCGTTGATCAATCCCTGAGGGATCGGCCATGCTTTCGTCTCAATTTTTAAGTTCGTTTAAGGTGATTGAATGCATATCCGACCTTTACAATGACTCGCGGTGGCCTCCCGCTGATCTAAGTCAATGCTGCTTATCCTCCCAAACAGGACTAAGACCAAATGGTACCAATTTACCGACTCCGGAGGGATGGATGACTTGGTGAGCTATGAGCGCGAGATCGAACCACTGACCTCGTGTGCGACGCAGAGCACCTCTACCCACTGCGCCACATGAGCTCGAGTAGAGGAATAGTTTAGCCTTATTGGCGATATCACAAGAATATGTTAGTACACGTCATTCACATAAATATTCACAAACGGTTAATTTCCTAACGATATGCAGAGATCTTTTAGCACATGTTCAGGAGCGCATGTGGCACAGTGGCTAGAGGAGATCTACATCGCACACAAGGTCAATGGCTCGATCCCGCGTTCGTGGCTCACTAAGCTCTCCATCCCTCCGGTGTAGATGAATTGGTAAAGGGCTTGTCTGGAGAGTAAACAGCATTAACTTGATACATTTGTTTGCCAACCATCGCGAGTCATCGCTAAGACCAGATACGTATTTGATCAACCGGAAACGAAGCTAAAGAGTGAAGATGAATGCGCGGCGCATCCCTCAGGAGTCGATCAACGACGACAAGCTTATCCGGTATTGTCCATTATGAGGCGACAGATAATAAAACCGATCTCATTCGCTGGAAGGAATTCTTCATATTCTGCATGTTCATATGCCCGAAAATCGATGAACTATTGCGTCGGTTCACGTGAACGTCTCACTCACCGGCACGTGAATTGGCCAAAGGACGCTTTGGCTCGCGTATGCGAAAAAATAACTTATTTTCCCTTTTGCATTGCAAAGTAGCGGTCTTTCCAGAAAATAAGCACAGCGTTAGAATCAGCAAACATTACGTTATCGAATGATTACCGACAGTCCATAGAAAGAGCTCTGTGCGGCGAGAAATATGCGCATCTAAGACATAGATTTGCGCGAATTTTACAGCGTTATGAAGGGGCCTTCTTTAGAAAAAGTGAGGCTGTAGGTCGAAATCTCAGCTTTCGGATGACTATTAAACTGACATAAAAAGTTGCTCGTGCAGCGAATGAGATCGGTTCTTCATTTGTCGCGTCATGATGGACAAGTATCCTTAACGTATCCTTTTCATGTAGACATTTTATAGTACCCGTTAGAGGAGAAGTAGAGGCTAATTCGGGTAAAGTAGAACAATACCAGTGGGAAATCATCTTATTTGACCGCCCATTGCGGTGTTATGATGTTTAAATAACCCAGTAATGTAGAGTGGTATGCAAAAACGTTTGCGACAGCCGGGATTTGAACCCAGACTCTTTCTGGAGTGGAGTGCAAAACGAGCGTCGGTGGTGCAACGGTTTAGCACATGCTCCCGGAAAGAGTAAGAACTGGGTTCAAATCCCGGCCGATGCAAACGTTTTTGTACATCACTCTACATCACTGGGTTAATAGAACAATACCCCTAAAAATCTGGGAAACTGTTTTAAGCCCTTTGGAAATCGATATGCCAGTTGTGTGGGTACGTTTCAAAGGCCTTGACCGCCTCCTCAGAGCCACACGCCTCACCAGTCAACTACTCTACTGATCCATCAAAGATGACTTTATTTGACCGCCACTAGCGGTGTTATGATGTTACAAAATATACCCAATAGTGTAGAGTGCTGTGCAAAAACGTTCACATCAGCCGGGATTCGAACCCACATCTCATTCTTTCCGGGAGAGTATGCTAACCGTTGCACCACCGACGCTCTACTGATACTGGGATAGTATGCACTTAAGAATATCTGAACACGTCATAAAGGATAAAAGATAAGGCTTTTGGCGTTGATCATTCCTGAGGGAAGCGTCGTGCACTCTTCTTCAATTCTTAACTTCATCTGAAGTGATTGAATGCAAATCTGACCTTTACAATTACTCGCGGTGACCTACCAACGTATTAGGTCAGGCTGTTATCCTTCTAGACAAGTCTGACCATTTCACCGACCCTGGAGAGGTGGAAGGCTTAGGGAGGCCGAGCGCGGGATCGAACCATCGACACGTGTGCGACGCGGGGCTCCTCTAACTCCTGCGCCACTCGTGCTCAATTTTATTAATGGTATCAATTGTAATGAAAATCATGCACTAACAGAGAGAAATGGGAAGCAACGACACAGAAAAGAGGTAAACTTGTAGGCGAGACTTCTCCAGTACACAAAAGTTCAAAAGTTCACCGGGGGTCGTGATGTCTTGGATTGGAGCGCGTTATTAGACGAGGGACCTAGGTTCAAAGGAATACAACGATCTTTTGATAAATGATAGTTATTAGGTTTTGTCACCGTCAGCTGACATCCTACTCTTGCGCAACACAGAATAACTTGTCGTTTTAGGTCTTCTATTTGATCTACTACTCCGAAATTCTAGTGTTTTTACTGCTCTATTTCGCAGTGTCATAATGTTACTTATATTTCTGAGAGAATTGAGTGGCGGGCAAGAACACAGCTCCAGACAGGAATCGAACCCGTGTTTCATCCTGTTTGGGGACGCGTGCTCTACCACTACACCACAGAGGCACATTTGCTCGACCACTCATTCTTCAACATCTCTATGATGGCCTATAAACCACCAGCCTTCAGCAGCTTTGGTCAGGTATGCGATTTCGCTTTTTAAACCCAGATGAGCTGACACACAATGTTAGGTCTGAGACTCCGAAATGTGCCTCGCTCGGTGGTGTAGTGGTAGAGCACGCGTCCTCGGTTAAGATGAAACGCGGGTTCAATTCCCGCCTGAGGCCGTGTTTTTGCCCACCACTCAATTCTCTTCTACTTAAGCTTAATATTACAAATTTGCCTTGTAATTCCGCTTCGATAACAAATAACACACTAAAGTATGGCTGAGTCAAATGATACAAGTACATTGTTTGATTACCCGGAACTGGAAATGGACATTTTTCTCCCGAAACACGCAATGTTTTGGAGTAATGGGACAGTTCATTTAATTAGTCTGTGAGAATGCTTAAAGCCTTACCGGGGTTGTCGGAGTTGTTACGTCAGAGCCACACGCCTCTTGGAGGTTTAACCCTCATCATCAGTGGCCCACGCCCCACAATAAACCCTGCTTTATAGTAGTGATGGGGAGACGTATTGAATATTTAAAGCTAGGTTTAAAGACAGTCGATCAGATGGATCAATTCATATCTGACAGTTCAATCAGTATAATTCCACGGAGTACATCATTCCGTCAAGCCAGACAGTTTACTAATCCTGATTACTGCGTGCTTCACTTTCAATTGAGATGTAAAGGACTATCACTCGAGGCTAATTCAGGCTGGAAAGTTTGATAATGCCAATTGGAACCTCAACTACGATTTAACTAATGCTAAAGCAAAGTCCTTTCCGTGCTTTCCATAATTACTACCTTGACTCGAACACTGGCTCTCGATAAAGTTTGGCATTTACGGCATTTACAAGTGGGCCATTATTCGTCTTGACTTTGGCAGAAGAGTAGAAACAAATCGCGCTGCTATCAAAAGTTCGACAGAGATCATAGTGATAGCAAATCGATCGTGATCATCACAGTGTTTTCTACTTGTGCAGGTAAGTGAATGAGGAGATAATCGTTAGGGAAACCTTACCTTCCGACTTTACTTGTCACATTCGGTACTTTTCCGTAAGACCGGGAACAAATGAAGAAATGATCTCTATTGCTGGACAAGAACTTTTCATAAGAGTGCTGATAATCGTTCAGAAGCTTGAATCTCTAGCTACTGCGGTATGTGCTCCTTTATGAGAAGATCCTACGCTCAGCACACACATACTGGCCGACAAACAAATGCGCCACCTATGTAAAACTCAATATTATTTTTCCCGCTACACTGCAATGGAATGGTCTTTTCAGAAAATAAGCACAACGTTGAAATTTCGAATCTTACGCTATCGAATGGTTGCTCACAATTCCAGGGAGCAATTCTGTACTACGAAAAATATGCGTGTGTGAAATACAAATGTTTTCTTGTTGTTTTTTTAATATAGAGTCACAAAAAGGCTTTTTTAAAAGAATGACCATGTAGCGCAGTAGCCAGAGATTCAAGCTGAGAACCAAATTATATGAGGACGAAAAAGCTCTGTGCGGAAAAATTTAGACGTTTTTGGGAGAACTAGTAAATACTGCATGAATCTCGTTTGTTTACTGTTGTCATCCAGCACTCACCCTCTTCGAAGTGGCTGAATGAGGAAAGTGCACGTCTGTTTGACCCTCCTAAGCTACGAAGAAAGAGAAACCTGCGAAACTCCAGGCAATGCTATGTTTTATTCCACAGAATCACAAAAAGAACACTGACGAAGTGATAGAGGTGAGTAGCCATAGAAAGCATCGCCGCTCAGAATCCTGTCCTCCTCTGTGGTAATGATGGGAGGTGTTCGAGGAAACGTAAGGTTCAGATGCAAGAAACTAATCGACTTCAACATGCTATACATGCCCGATATTTAGGAGTTGATGATGGAACAGACATACCTGTGGTCGATTGAGGACTAGGAAAACGTCTCACTCTCGCAAGATAGGCGACAAAAATGCGCATTCAGAGTTGAAATGGGTTGGACATATGTTCATTCCCAAAGGATGTCGTTTTCCTCAAAATATTAATACGGATGGGAGTTCATTTACCAGAAGGATGTATGGATATCTCTTCAGCAATATGCTAATTTTTCGTGACTTGAAGTGTTCCGAGCATCTAAATTTATAGCTGTGAAAGATCCCGTTTTGAACTCCAAACAACGAACAATTACTTCGGAAGCAAACAGCATTAGTAAGGAGTTGGTAAAACAAACTACGATGGCTTTTTGTATAGACCAAGTCGATTGTACAAATCTTCATTTCTTCAGCTGTCGATTGGCTACTTATAGTCTAGTGAAAGAGCATGGAGTAGTAGTTTTTGATTGTGCGAAGTACAAATTCAACGCAACAACCTCAGTTAGGTTGCACTCAAGTTTGCAACGAGATGTGCTCTATCAGTACTCTACGACTTTCAAGTTGGATAGAAAAAACGAATTGAATGCTGCAAGTACTGCGACCTGCAAGGTGAAAAGAAAACTGTGCTCTGGATCAAGTAAAGTGAAAATTGGGCTCTTTCTGATTAGGAGGAACAAATGAAAAACCGATCTCATTCACTGAAGAGGAAATATTATAAGGTGTTAGTAGCTATTCGAATGCTGAGACTGAGGCTACCGCTCCACGTCGCCGATTTTTCAAAACACCTTTTTATAACGTTGTAGCATCCAGTTTAGAAATTATGTTCCACACTAGCCTTTGCCACCATTTTTATCATGCATATGAATCGCTGAAAGCCGAAACATATCAATGTATAATCAATGTATAGAGACATTGTTGTTGTATCTTGATCAGTCGTTTCATCAGGAGTTTCTTTCGAAGCGGAGGGAAAATTACCAATTGAATAACAAAATATCAATCGTCCCACTTCGTCTCGTTCCTGCCACATCCCTTGCTGCTACCTTCGCCTTATCGAACAGCCTGTTAACAACATTATCAAAAATGTAAAAGTTCAGCTTATTTCTCCCGCTAAACCGTATTTACCGAAAATAAGGACACGCTAGAATAAGATAACATTACCCTATCAGATGATTACTTACAGTCTAAAGAAAGAGCTCTGTCCGGCGAGGTTTAAAGCACAAATCAAAGACCAGTGGAATAAAAAAAGATCAAAAGAGCTGCTTAGAAAGCAAACACATTTTCGAATTCTTTGAAGATTGGACTCTAGTTTGAGTGCTAGCATTCTGAGGAAAAAGTTTTGAACAGTGAAATATAAGCGAGATAGAGAAAAAGACACGTGGTCTTATTAAACATGATTTTATTTTGAATGTTTCTACGTTATAAAGGGATATTTTACAGAAACAGCAACGCGGGGATGCAGTCACAGTTGTTCCTACGTGGGAATACCAGCTGTGTTGCAGATCATTTTACCTGCTGCTTTCTAAAGAAACGGTTCTTTCAGGATTTCGCGAGAATTTTGCGTGTCTGAAGCCAAGAAATCTCCTCCTATAGCAACATCAAACAAAGCCTTTTCGAAACGCGGCGACTTGGGGTTGTAGCTCAAGTGTCAGCTTTCGAACGGTTATTAGCACTCCTATGAAAAGCCTTTCTCCAGTGAAATGAAATGGATTTTTCATTTGTTCCGTCCTAATCAAAAAGAACCGAAAGTTGACATATAAACTCAGATGTAAATATGTTCGCTAAAATCAATTAGTCGTAAGCACTGGATGCATTGAATTCAGGAGATATTGGACCTTTCATTTCAGATAGCGTTAGTTGTGAGAAATAAGCCTTGGCGTTTTTTTACAGAACTTCGAAAAGCAAGAAAAAAAAGATAACACAAACTCAATGAGGATATCATGCAAGAAAGAATATAAAACAAATCTCGATGAGCCGTTTTCATACATTTCCAGATTGAAATATATACACCGTGAATATATTTTCGTACAGCTAAAGGTGGTATGCTCATGAAAGGGAAAGTCTAACACTCCTTTCTCTTTATGCATGGTTAGAACAATCCATATCACAACTTTCACTTACTCCTGGGTCCTCTTTATCAGGTACAGGAGCTCCTCGGTGTTACGATGTTATGGATACACCCAACGACGTTGAGTGATGTGTAAAGCCTTTGCTTCAGGCACGACTCGAACTCGCTTTTCACACTTTCCCGGGACATGTCTCAACCAGTTAATGGTTGTTTTTCACATCACTTAAAATTATTAGGTACAATCAAATAGAAAGAGTTCTTCTTGTATGCATCTGATATTTCAGCGTAATAATGCACTCAATGTACATATTGGCTACGCGTGACAAATCGTTGACACTTGGTTGCTGACAGTTAGACGTTTTATAGCGTAGTAAGAGTGGTGGCAAAGCAGGCATCGGTTATGCACCGGGTTAGAACACGCGCCCTCGCATAGGGTAAAATGCGGATTCAAGTCCTGTCTGACTCAAACCACATCAGTCAACATTATTGGGTATAATCAAAAGACAGTTAATAGATTGCCGCCGGTTTTGGCTGTTCACGCGGTAAATTTAATGCAACGCACCTCTGCCAGGATGTCTTTGAGGTCCTAGTCTCTTTGATACACTTTTGCTAAGCGTAGATGTTTTTTTTTGTATTCCTCGCCAATAAAATATAAGTTTTCTACGTCTAACGTATCCTCCCTTTTTCAATGTATATTCCCATGTTTTTAGAACACTTAGAACAACTGTATGGGGCGAAAAACCTGCCACTGAGTCAGACTATTTTTATCACTTGGCAAGGCTTTGAAGGATTTGCAAGTTATACTTTGTACATACATTACATGTATAAGTATATGAACTCAGTCAAAAAAGAGTTTTTTCCTGTGTAAAGTGCAGTAGAGCTTTCCGTGAGCGATTCATTTGATGAAATTTGTTCATTACACCATGGGGAGGCTAATGGAACTAGTGCAAAAGTCTAGAAAAAAAAATATTCCGTGCGGCACAATAAATGTGAACAGAATCTCTGCCGCGTGGTTGTGGTGTTGGTTTGGCGAGCCGAGCT